TGAGATTGGTCTTGGGGACTCCTGAGCTTGCACTTGGTGTGTTTGTTGATAGCATTGTATTTAAATTGGCAGTTTAGCCAATTGATACCGATCTTTTCTTTCTTGGGAATAGCTGAATTTTCAGCCCTCAATTGGGTGTAAGTTTCAGTGGTGCCCTGGGGTTCGAGGTCTCTTGTGCCATGTTTGTGTGTTACTTTTCATTCCAGCACTTTCAGGTTGGCTCTAGTTAAGTTGAAAAGAAAGCAAAATCCTTATCCTGACACTTTTTATTTTGAAAAAAAAGATGACCGGTAAGGGGATCTTAACCCTTGACTTGGTGTTGTCAGCACCAGGCTCACCCAGTGAGCCACAGGCCGGCCCTCTTATCCTGACAGTTTGTAGAATAATGACAAAACTGTTTCTAATAATTTAGCACTGAATATTCATTAACTTTTTTTTCCCAATTCAGTATTACCTAAAATGATTATTATCTGCCTTTACGCTGCCCTATTACTAGTCTAATATATATTTGTCTGTGCATGTCTATATATAATGGAAATTTATTTTTTATTTTTTGGTAGCTGGTGGGTACGGGAATCCGAACACTTGACCTTGGTGTTATCACACTGTGCTGTAGCCAACTGAGCTCACCAGCCAGTCCCTATATGTAATGGTAGTTTCTTATGAGACTACACTAGAGATACCCTGTGTGAAGAGTGATTAGGACTGACCTGGGCAGCTTTCACTTCCTGCACAAAAAGAGGGCACTCCAGTCCTGGTGCTCCTGTTCTGAACAAGTAAATTCTAGCATCAGAACACAGCACGGAAACCCTTTCTCTGTTCCCTGCATACGGATGTCAGTGGGTTGATGATGTCTTTCAGAGACCATGGTGTGGGAGAACCATGCAGCTCGGTGTTTCCCAGGCTCAGGGGCTGGGCGGTTATGCTCATGTGACCAACAGGGTCACAGAAGTGATAGAAGTAACACAGCCTCTACAGTAGCCTGTGGGTTATCACTTTCTCCTGGGATTTGAAACGGGAGCATATTTCATTTGGAGGAGGGTATTTCTGAAACTTCCATTATTTTATTTTACAGTCATGGGCAAATTCAGAAACAGGTCTGGACTTAACTTACTTGCAAATTGGGGCTCTGCTATGGGTTGAATTGCGTTTCCCCAAAGGTTCATGTATTATTAATCCCACTGTAACAGTGTTGAGGGTGGGAAATCCTATGACGATAATTGAAACGTGGGCCCTTACGAGGTGATTTCATTGTGAGGACCATGCCCTAGTGAATGGATTGCTCCATTCATGGACTAGTAAGTTGATGTTTTCATGGATGGTGATGGGCGTGGTGATGGTTCATAAGGAGATGACGTGAGCAGGTGAGCTCTCTCTTGCTCAGTCCATTCGCCATGTGACACCCTGCATCGCTGTAGAGTCAACACCAAGAACAAGAAAGCCCCACCAGATGTGTTCCCTGGACTGTGGACTGCCCAGAATCTGAGAGTGGGAATTTTTTTTTTTGGTGGCTGGCTGGTTTGAGGTCTGAACCTGTGCCCTTGGTGTTACAAGGCTGTGCTCTAACCAACTGACCTAACCACCCAGCCTGGACTTCCCAGACTCTGAAACTATAAAAAATAAATTTTATTTCTTTATAAGTTACACACTTTCACATATTCTGTTATGAGCAACAGAAACAGACTAATACTCTTAACCCATCTCTCAAGGTTAGGGAGGCCCATATTAATTACTATTCCAACTGACCTAACCACCCAGCCTGGACTTCCCAGACTCTGAAACTATAAAAAATAAATTTTATTTCTTTATAAGTTACACACTTTCACATATTCTGTTATGAGCAACAGAAACAGACTAATACTCTTAACCCATCTCTCAAGGTTAGGGAGGCCCATATTAATTACTATTCTATGGTTCCGGTGGAAAGAGCTGTTCCAGCATCTTATAACCTCAGTGTGTGTGTGTGTGTGCGCGTGTGTGCGTGTGTGTGTGCGCGCGCGCATGTGCGCTATGGTTCCGGTAGAAAGAGCTGTTCCAGCATCTTATAACCTCAGTGTGTGTGTGTGTGTGTGCGCGTGTGTGCGTGTGTGTGTGCGCGCGCGCATGTGCGCTCAAACTGGTGTGTACAGTACGAAGGTTCATGAATGTGGGGGTTGTGGGGAGGTCTAATTTCTCATGTTTTATTCCTCCTTCTGACATCTCTCTGCTCAATACTTCTGTTTCAAGTGAAGGGTACATAGAGGAAAAAAGAGAAGCAACTAATTTTGTGATAAATAACATACATATAAGTTAAAATTAACATACCCCCCCCCAAGTCTTCATATAGCGGATGGACCTGCTTATAATGGCCTGGAAATGTGGCCAGCTGGTCCATGTTGCATGTTGAATTTCCACAGGCCCTTGGAAACCCATGGTTGGTGAAGTTGGGAAAGCAGGAAAACCTCCTAGTCCTTCAGTATATTTCTATTTATTAATCATCCAGGTTTGAACTTGTGGTTCATGTAGTACCGAGTGATGTGGTGGGTAATAAGGAAAGAGATGGGGGCCGCCCGTGGCTCCCTTGGGAGAGCGTGGTGCTGACAACACCAAGTCAAGGCTTAAGATCCCCTTACCGGTCATCTTAAAAAAAAAAAAAAAGGAAAGAGATGAAATAGTTTTTGTCACTAGGAATTGATGATCATGAAATGGAAATATTTGTTTCACTTGTGTAACATTTCTCTCATTTCTCTAGTGTGTTCTGGACTATTCCGGACCCTGAAAAAAAGAGAGGAATAAGACTGGAAGGGTCACAGTAAAAGTACAGAGATAAGTTTAGTGTGTTACAGATGATGTTAAAACTCTGACACAGGATAAAGAAAGTGTGTGTGTGTATATATATGTCTGTATGTATATACACATACACACAGTGAAATATTAAAAGATATTAAAGATATAAAAATATTAAAGCCATCAAAGAAGCAAATCCTGCCATTTGTGACAACTTGGATGAACCTGAGGTCATGACGCCATGTGAAATAAACCAGACACAGAGAGGCACATACCGTGCGATCTTACCTATGTGTGTGATCTAAGTGAGTCGAACTCCTAGAGGCAGACAGTGGAATGGTGAGTGCCAGGGCTGGGGCTGGGGGAAGCGGGGAGTTTCCAGTTGTCAGATGGATAAGTTCTGTGTATCTAATGTACAATATAGGGACTACAGGAAATAATCCTGTATTGTGTACTGTAAAGTTGCTAAGATACAGATCTTAGTGTTCTCACCACCCGCTTTTTAAAAAAAGGTAACTATGTGAGGTGATGGACGTGTTCATTAACTTGGCGGTACTGATTTCACATTCTACATGTATATTGAATCATCACATTGTACAACTTAAATATACGCAACCTTTCTTTTTCTTTTTCTTTTTTCTTTTTTTAAAAGATGACCGGTAAGGGGATCTTAACCCTTGACTTGGTGTTGTCAGCACCACGCTCAGCCAGTGAGCGAACCGGCCATCCCTATATGGGATCCGAACCCGCGGCCTTGGTGTTATCAGCACCGCACTCTCCCGAGTGAGCCACGGGCTGGCCCGCAACCTTTATTTTTCAAAAACAAACAAAAACCCCTATGAGACAGGAGGAGAGAATGGACGGAGAGGAAGAGGTCTGACAACTGAGTCCTAAAGAAACGTTGGGAGACCACAGGATCTTGTGTGACCTTTTTATGAGTTGAGTCCAGTTTCCAGTGATGTCTAACCTGTCCTCCTGCACTTGTGTGTGTTTCGTTTCAGGACTCAGTGGTCTTTGAGGATGTGGTTGTGGACTTCACCCTAGGGGAGTGGGCCTTGCTGAGTCCTGCTCAGAGGAAACTCTACAGAAATGTGATGCTGGAAACCTTCAGGAACCTAGCCTTAGTAGGTAAGGACGACATCATTCCTTCACTCAGCTACTTAGATAATAAATGTTTCTTGCTCCTCAAGCCTATTCCAAGATTTGGAATGTAGAAGGGGAATACATTGGTTAATAATACAGGTATGATCATAATCATCCTGGACCTAGAATTTAATAGTTTCCCTGTGACAATAAAAATCTATATATTAACCTGTTTTTTTTTTTTTCTGTCTTGTTTAAAAGACTTAAGGTCCTTTAGTGTCATCAGTGTGGGTATACATTCACGGGTCATGCTGGAGGCACAGGGAGGCTTGTTTGAAATGTTGTGATGATCGCTCTGTGAATATTAAATTGCCTACCATTCTGACCTTGTATGCTGTTAATAATGAAGTCATGAAACAGCTCAGCTCCTGAGTCCTTGTAGATTTGTTCACTTTAATTTTTTTTCACTATTTTTGTTTCAGATGATGAGACACAATTTAAAACCAATGGGTCCATTTCTCAGCAGGATATGTTTGGTGAAAAATTATCTGATGAACAGAAAACAGCAAGGTTCACAAGAAATGACACCTGGGCCTCCCTTTTAGGAAAAAAATGGAAAGACTATTGCCTTAAAGATAAGCACAAAAACAAGGGGAGACCTTTGAGGTGAGTTGGACTTAGACGAAAAGGCAGTGTCCCAGTAGAAAATTGGGTTATTTTGTGAAATTTAAAAAAACAAAACCCTGGGCCGGCCTGTGGCTCACTCGGTAGAGTGCGGTGCTAATAACACCAAGGCCGCGGGTTCGGATCCCATATAGGGATGGCCGGTTAGCTCACTGGCTGAGCGTGGTGCTGACAACACCAAGCCAAGGGTTAAGATCCCCTTACCGGTCATCTTTTTAAAAAAAAAAACACAAAAAACAAAACCCCACAAACCTAAATGGGGGGAGGGCGTGGTGGGATTCTCTGTGAATAAATAAATTTGAACTAGCTCCAAATTTACTTATTCAAAGAGAATCCCACCCCCCATTTTTTTCCCTTCGTATGACTTAGACACTGAGTGTCTGAAAGGTAGCTAAGTTGGAGACAATTATCAGGGAACCCCATATACTGCTGTTGTTGTAGTAATGGGCTATGGTCGAACCTTCTTCCAGAAAATTTAGTTTATTCCACTTTGAAAAAATTCAAACAGGACAGAAAACCTGCATTTACACAGAAAATAGTTAGCGTGTACTGCTAATACTCATTAATAAACATTAAGTACTCACTAATAAATACTAAGAAAAGTTATTAATACACAAGCCATTAATAATATGCTTCCCATTTTTAGCAGAAAGCGAATGGTGGTGAGACTCTGTAAAAGTCGTAAAGGTGGTGATTGTGAAGGAAGCTTCTGCCAGATTCCAAATCTTAATCGGTCCAAGAAACCTACTAGAGCAAGACAGTATAAATGCAGTCAGTGTGGAAAAGTCTTCACCCACTCTTCATCCCTTCAGAGGCACAAAAGAAGTCACACTGGACACAAAGTACATCAGTGTGAGGAATGTGGGAAAGCCTTCAGTCGCCCTTCATACCTGAAAACTCACGTGAAAACTCACAACGGAGAGAAACTCTATGCGTGTAAATTATGTGGGAAAACGTTTCTTCGTCCCCATTCTCTCACTGAGCATATAAGGACTCACACTGGAGAGAAGGCCTTCGAATGTAAGCAGTGTGGGAGAGGCTTCAGTTGTCCCAAATCCTTTAGATCACACGTGATGATGCACACTGGAGAGAAGCCCTATGAATGCGAGCAGTGTGGGAAAGCCTTCAGTTGTCTCAAAACCTTCCAGGTACATACCATGATGCACACCGGAGAGAAGCCCTATGAATGTAAGGAGTGCGGGAAAGCCTACTGCTGGCGCACATCCTTTCAAAGGCACATGAGCATTCACAATGGAGAGAAACCCTATAAATGTGACAAATGTGAGAAGGCATTTGGCTGGCCCTCCTCCTTACACAAACATGTGAGAATGCACAATGAAAAGAAACCTACACACGTAAGCAGAGTAGGAAACCGTTCGGTTGGCTCTCATCCTTCCAAAAATGTAAGAATGCAGACAGGAGGGAAGCTCTATAAATGTGAAAAATGTGGGAAAGTATTCGGTTGTACTTCATCCTTACACAAACACGTGAAGTTGCACACTGGAGAGAAGCCTAGATCTGTAAGCAATGTCAGAAAGCCTTTACCTAGGGGCCGGCCCGTGGCTCACTCTGGCCGGTCGCTCACTGGCTGAGCGTGGTGCTGACAATACCAGGTCAAGGGTTGAGATCCCCTTACTGGTCATCTTTATGAAAAAAAAAAAAAAAGAAAAGAAAAGAAAGCCTTTACCTGGCCCCCATCCTTCCAAAACTCTAAGAATGCAGACTGGAGGGAAGCCCTATACATGTGAAAAATGTGGGAAAGCTTTCAGTTGTCCTAGATCCTTTCAAGGTCACGTGAGAAGTCACGCTGGTTAAGAAACCCTACAAATATAAGTAGTGTGGGAAAGCCTATGTTCAGAAAATTCACGTCAGGACAGAAATCTTATAAAAGTTATAAATATGCTATTGCATTTTATATCCCTAAAAGTGGACCTCTAGTGAATTTAATTTCCAGTTCTCTTGCAAATGGGCGTTGAGGCGAGAATTCTCTAAGTACTCTTTCATTCTAGTACGTAATTTTTGATAACATGGTGGTTGGTTTCAGTTAATAATTTTTCTCTTTCCATTTTGAAGTGTGTTATACCCGTGGATGATTTGAAGTGTATTTTTGATATGCATTAGGTACATAATTTTTATGTAGTTTTTGGGTTGTTCTGTAAGTATGGAGCCATAAAACTAATGAAATGTTCGTATTTGTTGGCATTCTCTTACTGGCTCTGAGTGTTCCAAACTGGTTATTACTTACCCGTAACATACAAGGGCACTTCAGAAAGTTCATGGGAAAACAGAATTAAAAGATAACATGAATCTCTCATGAGCGTGTTGAAGTCCCCTTATATATTTCACCTTTCTGTTTTACTGAGAAAACTAGCAGTTTTTAATCTTAATACTTTTTACTTACATCAGGTTTGTATTCTCAGCAACTTAATTTTTTGGCGAGAGGATCCTTATTCCATTTTGCTGGCTGGCTAATTAACAGTTGGCAGAAATCTGTTAAGTATGCAAAGCTACTGAAAGAGGATAGTCTCATGTGAACTACTATTTTTATCTGTTGCTGTTTGCTCTTTGTCCTTGCTTCTGGCTGGAACTGGATAATAGGTTTAAATTAAGAAGAGAGACCTGTAATATGACAGTGAAATCTAGAGGTGGAGATAGTTCTGCTGGATTGTGTCATATCAACATGGGTAAGGCAAGAGAGTACATGTCCCAGGTTTCCTTCTCTAGATGGTTCCATGTTAGAATTCTGTAATAGCCCAATCTGCATGAAATTTGGAAGAAGCAATTATTCAGTTTATCAAGCCACCACCAAACAGGGAGATGGACAAATGCATAGGGACTGTACGGACACCAGGGTCCAGCTTATTTTCCTGATTGCTGGCCCTGCCAATCAAAAGTATCCTCAAAACATATACTAACTGCTTGGCTTCCATTCTGTCAGAGGTGTAGGTTTCCAGACATCTCCCCCAGCCTTCCCATCATGGATGCATGCACGGTTTGGATTTTCCTGCAAGCCCTATGCTGTCCACCAGGCCACTGATTCAGGATGCCATGACTGTTGATCTTATGTGATGCTCTCCCTTTTCTCTACCTCTTACTATATGTCTGTAAAGTCTAATTTGTATAGTGAACACTTCATTCTCTTAACAATTCTCATGCATCTGTGTTCCTGATTCCACTACAGCAGATACAATAACGTAGCCGTGAACACACGAGATTGTTTCCCTGCGGCATCATTGAGAGGCTACCCTGACTCAGTACCTCCATGAGACAAATCAGCACATTACTGACATATTGGGCAGACTGTGGGGTTTTGTTACCCAGAGCTGAATACAATCCTTTCATGTGTGTTTAATTATTACCTTTGATTATGATTAAAACAAAAGTGCCTGTTTTTGGGAAATGTCATAATAACTGTTTTCAAATAAGTTGTATACTATATAAAGGTGTAAAATGTTTCTGAGAAATAGCCTATTAACTGTGTGTTTTCAAATAAATTGTATACAAACATCAATCTGTATTTTTCATTTACTGAAAGGATATATTAAACATTTAAAACTACTAATTTTCAAATCCACTTTGTAACTTTGTGAATTTAAGCATCACACATTCTGAATCAATACTCCCTGGAACATTCAGGTATATGCATTTTTCTTTCTAGTAAATTTATCTTATATTGTTCCAAGTTGATCAAATAACTTTAGTCATTCATAATAGTAAAAACTTAAAAATTGGTTTTACCAATTTAATTAAGTACTGAATATGGCTAGTAAAAGATATAAAAACATCCTAATATAATAAAACAAGCTTAAATTTTATTGGATAATACCAAGGCAGAATGAAGTAGCACATAAGCTATGACAAGGAGATCACGGGGGACGCAGGAGGAAGGACAGGACTCAGTGGGCGAGGACGTCATTCATTCACCTATACTTATGTCATCTCATATGTCTTACACACTATTTCCAGAACTTCTCATGAAGTGAGAATAGCGGGTAGTGATGTAGAAATCGTCCTCCACTCATGAAGTTAACAGTAATTAGTCTCCGTAAAAATGAAATTATAGTCATGGTTTGGCCTCATTTTTTGTAAAAGTTAAAAATTTCAGGGCCTGTCATATGTATTTATGAGATTGGACACTGGTGGCTGGGACTGGGTGCTTCACATTGATTCGGGCCACAGTGTGGTGTTTGTGGTAAACATCCTTGTCAAATTTAATTTCAAATTGTGTTACATATTGGGCATTTTCATTCTGCTACTCATAGACACGGACAAAATTTGTTCTGCAGAAAACCAGAGTTTTCACAGTCTGAGGAAGGGTCTGCACAGGTCTAGCCCCTGTGGGTCTTCTCTAGAGAGTGGTCTGCACAAGCCCCACTCTGATCTCCTGGCAGAAGCAAGTGGAAGAAAGAGCTGTGGATACGGGAAGGGGAACTAGGTGAGGAATGACTGAAGGGAGCTGCAGACAGTGTTATTATTCAGAGTAATGTCCCAATTAGGGAAAATTCAATTTTCAAAAATTAAAAAAAGCTTTTTAATTTTTTAAGTGTAAACTTTTGTTTTAATGATCCACGAACACCCAAGTTCCCATTTTGCTTTTCACAGATATTGTTTCCACACATATTAGAAAAGAAAAATATATAGAAAGCTTTGTGTTCAATTAAAGGGCAAATGAGGGCCGGCCTGGTGGCGCACTGGAGAGTGCGCTGCCTGGGATGCTCCCGCCGAGGGTTTGGATCCCATGTGGAGACCGGTTCCCGCTCACTGGTTGAGTGTGGTGTGGGCGCAACACCGAGGGTTGCGATCCCGTTGCCAGTCCCCGGTGCAGGCGCGACACCGAGGGTTGCGATCCTGTTACCGGTCAGTAAAAAAGATAAAAAGGAAAAAAAAAAAAA